GATACCGCTATGTCATCGAGAAAATCGTTCGTAACGTGGCCAAATCACGATTGTTGGCTGCAAGGGGTTCTACGACATCCACCCTAAACGTGTTGCGATATTATTTGTATATATCATTTATATTAATATTATTAATCAAGATATTTAGATACGTAATTTGTTAGAATGCAAGAAAGGTGATAGTTTTTTAAAGTCGATTAACGGTAGAGGAGTAAAGGTCACAACCTCTAAAACGGTTATTCTTTTATTTATTTTTTTGCTGAAACTCTTATTGTTAAAAGTAAGAAATTAAAAGTTTCAATTGAAAGTCCCGTCCAAATTATGAATCATGTTGTGGAGGCAATGCAATTTACACTCACTACGGGTCAAACGTAATGCAGACAAGACAATGTAGGTTAAATAATGATAATGAGGGGAAGTTAGTTGTGTGAAATTTCCTGTCACTTTTATAGAACGGTCGGCACACATTGTGTTATTACAAAAACGACAATGACTACAAAAAAAGTTGAATTTAAATTAACTATACCCAGTTCTAGTCATTTGAATATTAATTTACTAGTATTAAAATGATGGAAACTTTTAATCCAACCGAAATTCGCGTATCGAAATGATTCTGTTTTGTGAAGCCTGAGTCTAAAGAGCGGGACGGCAACATCGAATACTGGTTTAGAGCGAGATAGAGGCGCGCTCTCGGTTCGATGCTCGTGAGTCACGCTTCGGCGGCGAGTCGCTGGCGCAGCTTCTGCGTGTCCAAGTCGCAAGTGCCCAGCGGTTCGTTAACTCTGTGAATTGTTACACATTTGCATCTACGTGTAAACGTGCGTGAGATCCCAGTTATGAACTAATGATTATGTATTGACCGACACACGTGTGCTAACTGCTACGTATTTGTTGAAATTTTGATGAAGTGTGCTCAATATCTGTTAAAATTGACAAGTTACTTCTAATTAATGATAGATATTAAAGTTCATTAGTGTCTCTATGGGAACGAAACATTCGTTAATCTGACTCCCTTTTTTGTGGAATTACGTTCTAGTTTTCTCAAAATTGACAGCGTTTTTTATTCAATCAATAAAATAATTTTGATTGCTACCGAGAGTCTGTTTTCAATCTTACAACTTGCACTCAACGTTGTGTGACGAAAGCATCGACCGCGTTGACGGGGGTCGCCTGGCTTCACGTGATGGATTCATTACCTTCGCAAGCTCTCGCTGTCATGGCCAACGCGCCAATGTTGGCCAACATGCCCAATCTCTCACAATCTTTGGTCGAACATTTGAATCAAACAACCTCGTGAAATTGCGTTTGGAATGAGTCATTTGCGGTGCTCCTCATACGTATAATTACCAATACGAATCGAAACAGAATTATATAAAGTTTTTTAAAATGAAAATCTAATACTTATAAGAGCAAGAGTTATAAAAATTGCCATTTGTTATCATACTATAAATTGGTTTCAGTGCTAGATTACATAGATTTGAATGCAAAGAAGAAATCCAACGATCTAATCTGAACTAGTAGTATCACTTTTGTCTAGGTTCGTTTTGCGAACTACCTCTAAGTTTCAATCGATTTTGAGTTATTCTCGAGTGGAGCGGTCTGAACTGATTTTTAAATTAAATTAATTGTCACTGATTTTCAATTTTAAGATTTTAACTAATTACATGGTTCAGATGATCAAAGATACACGATGTGATTTTGATGACCTAAATGTGTTTGCATAAGTAACACTTGAACGATTTGATGATAATGATTATAATTTACGACGACAAGATTTTGATTGTCTTATAATATCTTTGTGTTTGCTAGAGCAAAAAAAAATGTTCACAATGACTTAAATGACCACATGCATGTTCTAGAATCATTATAATATGTGTATAGAACATGTTCAAGAGAAGTTGTTAATATAACGTATTACCTACTTGATAATATAATGCAGCATCTTTGTGCCATCAACATCTGTGGTCGAGCAAACCGGTTCGGAACTGGAGAACCGCAAAAACTGCCCAACGTTGTACCTTTTTTGGACTTTTTAAATGCTTTTTAAATGGCCAAGTATTCGCGTGGGCATCCAACGTTACAACATCAGTCATTCAATACAATGTATGCCTGCTTAATGGTTTATTAATCTTTTGTAAAATTTATCAGTCTGTTAGTTTAGAGTAGTTTTTAATCCTTGTTTTTACATATTACATTCTGCTAATCTGGTATTCTTTATCATTATTAATTATCGCAATACCAAAGCAGCTAAAGCAGGTTCAACATTTACCTCTGACAGTGTCTTTTTTATTGCAAGGAGATACCAGTAGGATAGCGGAAGCTTGCGGTTTATAACACAGACAGTCTGCAAATTATATGTAACAAAACACAACTTTATCATGATAGCATTAATACTTTTGCAATAGCAAGTCTACTTGTATTACATATTGTTATTTCATGAAATACAATACGAGACAACCGGTGTCATAAAGTATAGTTATCTATAAAAGTGGTTTGTAACATTTTATTTCTTCTAATATTGAATTGTTTATAATGAAACACTACTAAAGAGTACTCTTTAAAAATGAAGGTGCAAAAATTATTTTGAAACGCGCGTGCCTACGTCGAAATAACACAATAGTGTGATTCAATATGATGATTCTAGCGATTCTAAGATTCACAAGCATAAGTTTGACTCAACGTGTGTTTAAAAATAGACGAGATTTAAAGTCAGTTATTTTTATACACACTATTTTGGGCCCGGCGGCACATAAATAGCACTTGCACGGTCTTTGCCAAACGGAATACTGTTTTGTTTATCTACAATTGATGGCAGGTGATCTCGTTGAAACGTTTTAAATAAATTTTACTCACGTGAGTAAACTATCTCGAATGTTTATGACTATAGAAATACGCTATGTTTTTCTTTATTGCTACATCATGTGTGATTTTTATTATTCTTTTATTATTTTCAATATTTCAGAATAAAATTATTCGAAATCAAATACCGAGTGCAATGACTTTGTTTCTATATTTCATATCAAATAATTCTCCTGTTCACATAACGTTTATTTAGGGCAAATTAATATATGGATTTCTATACAAATCAACCAACTTTGTAATGGCTTAAGCCGACATTTGAATAAGTTCTTGAAGTTTCCTTAATAGACCAAGCTTTTAGACCATTATATGGCCATGTATGTAAACCGAATAGTAGGGTTACGAACGCCATATGTTCACAAGCCGAAGCTTTTAAAGGATCTGCTCTCATTCGATATGGTAATCATAAGCGTTTGCGTATATGTCTACTGATTTGGTTGAAATATTTAGTTAAAAATAGGGGCAATATTTAATTGCGAGATTTTGCTAGGCAGTGAATGAATCTGCGAGTGTTGCAGTAGTTTTTTTTAATTATATCAAATGTTCTTATGAGAATGATTTTAATTTTTATCAAAGTTTCTGTTTGGCGATGTCGATACTTTAGCTGTCGGTATTTTGGTGATAGATTAAGTGCAAATCCCTTAAATTCCCGAAAACTTTTATCTTGAGGCAGAAGTTATTTGGTCAGCTCGGTCATTTTATCGTTTATCTATAGACTTATTTATGGAATCGTTTCGGTAACTATCTGTAATTTATAAGCATTGTCAAGTTTCACGGTGACCTTTTTACAATATAGCGCATTACGTATTTCAACTGTTACACGGTATTGACACAACTTGTTTCTTTTTAGTTCGTTGTGTGTAACAGTTAGACACAGTCGGTTTTTAAAGTATTTTATCTGCAACAAGCTGTTTATGAGTCATGTTTCAAGCGCCATCTGTTACATTACGATCACGGTTACCAAGGCTTGCCCAAGATTTTTAACAGATAACCAAATAATAAGACGATATCGTTTATGGTATGACTCAACGGTATCCTAGATTATTTAAAGCATAATAACCTAATTAACTATAAGGATATGAAAGCGTCCATGTACGCTCTGTTAATCTCTCCTGAATAGTGACGTGAGCGTTTTAGAAATGTCTATAACAAGTCACCTACTCTCAACATTAGTAAAATTTCCTGTTTTAAAATTCAAAACATACATAAACTCATTTGTAGGTGATTTCAAATTCATATTGTCTTCCATGTTATTATAATGTGTTGTGTCGTCTCGCTTTTTGTTTCCACGTTAATGTTTATCCAGGTGTGTGCGGTTATGGTGCGTTTGTCTATTTCAGATACCTGTATGTTTGCTGCGACAGCTATGTGTGGCTACAATATTGGGATATGGTTTACGGTCATAGGTATTCTCACTTGACTCACTTGTTTTGTCTCTTTCTTTACAGGTTCAATAGTCTCCTGTATTGGACATCACGCTTCATCGGTGGCTGTGGCAAATGACTACATGTTTTCTGAATTCTGTTCGGCGATTTTCTTTTCATTTCGTTATCGTGTTGAATATTCTAGTATATATATCGATTTGTGCTACTAACGTTCTCTTAATCGAGGTTTAGGAAAAATAATTTTCAGTAATGACTTTTTATTTCAAAGATAAGGTTAAAAAATGCAGATATTAATACATTATTCTAAATTGATTAAAAATATTTTTTTTTTGTGTATTTCTTCATTAAAGGACATGTACTATTTTATTAATTTGATATAATTTGTTTTTCAAATCTGCTATTGATAGCAACGATTATCACTAGCTAAATGATATAGCTAAATGATAGGTTATCGTGGTGGAAACTCATTTTTCGGTACAAAGTACTACCAGCTTATACGTCAGTCTGAATTGTAGATGTGGTCTGCTTGACGTCATTTAAATGAACATAGGTCAATTAAGGGTGGACTGCCCCTACAACGATTTCCATAGGGCAAGGTCAGATTCTATCGAGCTGCTAGTCTATTTGTAGGAATTGATACTGTGGAATTGTTATTTTTTACTTTAATTGTAATCTGTCACGATCATATTTACACTTATCTAAAGGTTAGATAGTAAGAACATGAGTGATTGTAGTAAACGATTTTTCTACTTTCAGCTAAAGGATACTATTAGAAGCATAACTGTGATATGTTACTGTGAATAGAATGGTACATTGCATCTAGTTTAGTGAATAAGAGTGTGACATGCTTTGTCATTGATGATGGAGAGGAAATTGACTCGTGAGGACTTCATGCGGAAAAGCTTCCGCGCCCCTAGGGTGTCTCCGGCTCCCGAAAATCCAGAACCAGCTGTTAATGGGGCACCACCCCCTTCGCCGGTTTCTCTAGCTATGTTGGAAAGAGTTCCACCTCAAAGAACACAGTATGAAATCACCTCGGCAGGTATTGCTCCCAAAAGGTTAGAAATTAGTAGAGCACACCCGATCCACTTAAAATCATTCCAAGCACCCGAACCGCCCGATGAAAATGCACCGACACCACCGTCCGACGAAGTGTTACGAAAACTGGAAAGACAAATTGGTGAAATGGAACGAGGATTGGAAAGAGCACAAAATGGGAAGGTGGCAGTCGATGAGAGAGTTCGGTACGCAGAACACGAGAATCTTTTGCGTACTGGAGTTTCCTCTGTTGGTGGCGGTGGCTATTTGGCGGCGGATTCTGATACGGAACATGATGTGGCACCATTTAATAGAAACGAAAGCACGAGGAGCAGCACTGGTGGTGCCACTCCCGTTTCCCGTCCAGCCACCAGACTAGCCAGAACTAATTCCGATACCCAACAGCATTCTGTAGCCGCTACCGCTAGACTAATGAGAAAACTTGCTGATGGTGGTACTAAAGACGAAAAGGTTAAAGTGATTTCGCGTAAAACGCTTCATGCTCACATGGAGCGTGTTAAGAACTCTGTCGTAGGGTCCAAGAATGAGCACAGAGTGCTCGCGGAACATAGAGCTGATCCGCCTTCTCCGAGAACACCTACATCACCTGTTTCACCCAGATCTTCAACACAGGTAATTTTGTAAACGTCCTGTGATTGTTTCTTGACTTTATTAATCCGATAATAAATTGATCTATAAGATTTTAGTAAAACATTACTCGTACTGATATGCGATTGTAAACATTTTTTTTTATCTCACTTAAAGTCTTATCTAGTTTGTTTTTTATTAAAGGTGCTATGAATACTTTCATTTATCAAATTTTCGAATGCAATTAAAAGTCACTTCACAGTTTCTGTTCTCAATATTTACTTGTTAAAGTATTTTTCGAAAAAGTATTGTTTATTACTCTTGTTTGACCATATTACATATCACGTTATACCACATTCCCTGTGACTTAAAATGTTTGAAATGAATTGGATGATTCATTTTTATACTAGCACGCTCCAAATATCTGACGTAATATCTGCTTCAGATATTACAATCTCGTCAATATTGTCACCATTTGCGTTAATATTCGACGGTATTTCCAAAGTTTGTAAATATCTTCTATTGTTATAATGAAATCTAAATATTGCGACAACAACGTGTCTGCCGCGTGATTTTTCTTTTTTTAGAAAAACTTTAGCACTTGTAGAACATTTTATTTACCTAATTTAGGTTATATAAAGCCTTTGTACCAGGGTTAAATTGATAAAACCTTCACAACTAGACGCTTATCTTTTAATTCTCATCCATAAATCTTTGTCGCCTCAATAAAATGAAATGTAGCTAGAAATAAACATTCATCAGTTAAATTATGCATAAATTTATTTAAACTTATTCAACTGTTGAGGACGATTGGGTAACGACTTCCAAAACTTTCTCTTTCCAATAGTTGAAATAGAAACTAAACTATTTGACATCGGCAACATTTTAATCACTAATCTCCAATATAATTGTAACAACATCCAAGTAATAAAATATGTTTACGTAAAGGTAAATATAAGATCCAGAAGCATAAAACGTAAATGCTTTAAATGCTTGCACAAAACAAGGAGTATAACTTGATTAAAACCTATGCTTTGATAGAGTAAATATATGTACTGTTATAAATACTGTTTGATATTGACAAGTAGCAATTATATAGAATAGTTTTCCGTTAGATTGACCTAACCGGGAATAACCACGCTTCTTGGAGACTCTGAGATTAATAGTTATTTCCGATTGGGTAAGTCTGCAGAATCTAGTATAGATGTTTGACCTTTTGGAATAAAAGCAAGAATAACATTAAGAATTCTATATATGTATGCGATATACGGTGTTTTTCATTGCTATATATAGTGTTTCATAGTGATTTCCCTATGAGACATGTGATAGGGACTCCAAGTACGCAAATCCATCAGGTTCTCCTTTCGGTTACCAAGGTCGATGTGAATGAGTTTCTGGTTGGTTTAAAAATTATAAACAATACTTGTACAAATTCAACCCAAAGATAATTGTGTAATCGTTTAATATTGACTATGTAGTCACTTGTTTTTAATAGGGAGCGAGATTCGTGAAAACAGAACAGAAAGAATATGAAAACATAAAACATTATTCTTTAATAGTTTTTATTGTAAAACTGTTTAGAGACACTTTTATTTATTAAAATTTATGCTTTGTTTTCACATAGTACATTTTTTTAAATAGCGCTGTATTAGTATATCGCTAGGTAAAAACTAATCCAAAAAGACTTCCTTCAGCACGATGCCAACCTTTGGCGTTATGTGAAACGTTTTCCATATTCTGTATACTATATTCGTTTTTTGTGTAACAGTCCTATTTGAGTTTATACTTATTGTGATTTTTGTTTTCAGGTAAGCACCACGTAAATTGTCATTATGCCGTTAAAGTATTTAAAAGGTAAGTAATGTCATGATTACATTTTGTCTTATTATAAAACGAGGATCAAATACGTCCCGGTTTTTAACCATTATCCGACCAAATGATCTCAACGTGCCCCAATTTGACGTTTTCTCTTCGGTCATTGTCAATTTGCTTTAGGCGGCTAATGGTTTTAAAGTTAAACCAAGTACAGTACTAACTTTAGCTCTGTTTTTTATAAGAAGATGGACCGAGTATATTTAATATAGATTACCTTTTGCTCTTATCCAACTTTAATAATGAATTGTTGAACAAATACAGACGTCGATGGATGTATTCTAGGACGTAGATTAAAATAGATGACTCTTTTTAACTTGATGTAGCTAGTTTCTTATCAATTGTCTCAGTGAAGCTGTGAGCTAGCGTAACGCAGTTTTTGGGTTTCCATACATAATAATATTTTTTGTTACACCAAACCTAGACTGCATTATCATACGTAATGAAAATACTATTGGCCAAAAAGTTGGCTGCAGCCGACGCTAGGTCGCCACATAGATGGTCTTCTCTCTATGTATGGATATTCTCAAGATGTTGACTTTGTGACTTTTAAAATATTACAAAAGACTAATCAGTGATTGCATGTAACATGTAGAGGTATTATCTAGAGACAGCGTCTACGTATTAGAATGCAAGTAATTCACACTCCTGACTCTCCATGCAAATTTGTAAACTTCTATTCACTCTTGCTAATAAAACTATCCTATTATCAGCCATGTTCTCATACTATCTCTATACCAAATCTAAAATGAGTTAAGCGGTTTAAGAGTCAAACAGATGGAGAAAATTTACTTTCTCATTCACTATATGAATATACACGTGTGTCGCTAACGACCGACAAGTTTACAGATTTATGAATACAGTTTATATAATAACTGGAAACGTTTATAATCTATCGGATTCGACTTGATTTATATTCGGCACAGGGAAATGATTGAGTGGCGCTCGTTCTACCGTTTTACCGGAAGGGATGTTGGCTGGGAAACGGGAATGGGGAAATTTATTCATTTACAAGGGATAAGTCGCGATGTTATGTAAACATACTTTATCTACTTGTTAATGTTAATTTTATTTCACCATTTAGGCTGTTATCTGTCATATTAGTTCTTTTAATCATTAACTGTTGTAAATATATTTAAAACATTATTACGCCTTTCATGTTTCTTTCCATAATTTTTTGCATTCCTTTTTTATTTGAGCGTAATTGTCGGTCGCGGAACGTAAGAACAGACAAATCTATAAAATGATATGCGACCGTGCAAACTCGTTTCGTGAGATGCTTGATGAATTTTCCGTCAGAATTGCTCCGACCCTTTGTTTACGACCCCCGATTTTCAAGTCTCAACAAATAGTCAACTTTTTAACTTGACGGCTTTAGTATTGAATTATTAAAGACTTCTTGTTAAAACAATCTATCAGGAATGTCAGGTTACATAAGCCTAATGCATTCCTACTCGACTGTGTTGTCCAAAAGTCAAGGTCATGAGACGCCTGTCAATCCACACGCGATACGAATTCGTGAATAAATAAGTAAGCAAGACGGACGAACTTTTATCGATCGCACTATTAATATCAACAACATCGATCGTAGTTTCATTTATAATCAATGATAAAATATCTGCTGTGCCAGTGCCATCAAACGATTGAAAAACTAACAGTGAATTTGAAATTTATAAAAAAAAAGAGATGAAAGTTTAATTAGGTGAATAACAATAACATGTTATGTAAAATGATTGGTAGTAGTTATACAAATCATGAGTAGACTAACTAGTAGAATCAAAATCCGAAGATTATCTGATGTTACTACAATGTGAATAGTATTCATTACTACGCTTCTATCATTCAAGATCTCTTACTTTCATAGGTTACATAATTCATATGACCAAGGGAGGAAGAATAATAGAAATGCATAATCGATTATATCGACTGACCCCATTATAAAGTCAGTATGTCAAGGCACATCCGCACTAACTATAGTTATCTATTAGTAATATCTGAAATATTTAAATGGGTATGTAACGAAATACTTCCATATATATGTATTGTCTTTCAATCCTGAAACTTGGCATATTTTTCACATTTTATCTTAAATTGCTATGTTTCGCCATTGACGCTATTCAAAATGCCATCGATCCCTATACATTAATAGGTATCAGTTACTTAGTCAAAATTACGGAAGTTAGGGAAAAATATACGCTAAGGATGTCTGTCTTAGAACACTTTTGCCATTAAGTCTAAAGGCCATTAAAGCGATTTCCTTGTGTATAAAAGTCATTGTACAACTAGGCAATACAGTTTAGGTTTGTAACAATTGAATTTTCTTGGCCTACAAAACCAAGAACAAAACAAAATCAACACAACTTGAATATGCGAAAGAAGTAACAATTGTTTCTATTCCTCTGGAAATAGTCGTTAAACCGATCAATTGAAGATCCATAAATAATAGCGAAGTGTAGTTTGTATCTACGACATTTATTGACTGATCCACCATCTGTCACTCAAAGAATAAGTTTTTGACAAATAAGTGTCCCTTTGCACATTGGATCTAACTGAAACTTTGGACATCGAATACCCCAAGGACTTTTCGGGTCCACAATTGTTTTTTAATGCCTTTATGCCTATTTTACATTTTAGGGGCTTTCATTGATTCAAAATTATTATTCTGTTTGGTGTACAATTATTGGCAGTGATTTAGTCTGTATACGAATTGACTGGTGTTAAATCTTAACAAATAAGTGCCTAAGCTATCCAAGCTTCACACCCAACAAAGAGTTTGAACAGGTTAAACAATATTTTTATTTTTTACTCAGTCATATACCTACAAGTCATAATTATACGACAGCGCCTCAGGCTTTATCAGTTAATTACCGTCGAATATGATAGCCGTGACGACTGTACGTGTGATACAACTGTGCGTAATTTATGAGTACAGGGGGACTATTCTCCGTGTAAGTAATTTAATTTTCAATCGATTTCATATGCGAACTTGGCTACAGTATGCATATGTCTGCATACAGATTCAGGTATACGCATGAGATAGTCATGAAGGATGAATGATGGATGATAATTTGATTAATATGCACACACACAAAGTTAGTACATATCTTAACATTCTATATTTAATTTGCAAGGATGGTTAAAATGGAGATTTAACATTAGTATAAAAAAACCTA